AACACGACATGATTTGGGCGGTCATTGATCGTTTCACTAAGAGTGCACACTTCATAGCAGCCAACGAGAGGTGGTCTATGGATAAGCTCGCAAATGCTTACGTGAAGGAGATAGTAAGACTTCACGGTGTTCCTCTAACGATTGTATCCGATCGTGATAGTCGTTTCACGTCGAGGTTTTGGAGGAGTCTACAAGAGGAACTGGGTACGAAGTTGTGTTTGAGTACAGCTTACTATCCGCAGACTGATGGTCAGAGCGAAAGAATGATTCAAACGCTTGAAGATATGCTGAGAGCATGTACCCTAGAGTTCCAAGGTAACTGGGATGAACACTTACCTCTGGTAGAATTTTCCTACAACAACAGTTTCCACTCGAGCATCAAGATGGCAACCTATCAAGCTTTGTACGGACAAAAGTTTCATACGCCGTCTTGTTGGCTTGAGGCTGGAGAAAAGCAGTTTATGGGCCCCGAGATAGTCCATGAGACTGCTGAAAAGTTGAAGGTGATTAGGGAAAGAATGTTAGCAGCTCAAGATCGTCAGAAGAGCTATGCTGACAAGAAAAGACGACCGATGACGTTCGAAGTTGGGGATTCAGTTTTGCTCAAAGTCTCACCGTGGAAGGGACTTATAAGATTCGGGAAACGAGGAAAGCTAAGTCGAAGGTTTATTGGACCGTTTAAAGTTCTTCAGAAGATTGGGAACCAAGCTTACAAGCTCGAATTACCCGAAGAACTTGATGGAATTCATAACACCTTCCATGTGTGTTATCTGAGGAAATTCACGGGAGAAGTTCCCGACATAATTCCAATCTCAGAATTAAGAATGGATGAGAATAAGAGGCTGATTGAAGAGCCCGAGGCAATTGTTGACCGTAAGACTAAGAATTTACGACGCAAGATGGTCGACTTAGTGCTAGTTCGTTGGAAACATTCGAATGGGCCGAATCTCACTTGGGAAACAGAGAGTGACATGATGAGTCGCTATCCGCATCTGTTTGCTGATGCATGATTCCAGGAATCATCCTAAGGGGGAGAGAATTGTAACGCCCGGGTTTCGGGGCTAAGCATTTTTAGACGATGTAATAGTCTAGGTCAACAATTGTAACTCTTTTTGATGTAATAAAGATGAAATAATTGAGTATTATGTGAATTATGTGAAATTATATGCTTATTATTTAGTTATAAATGTATAATAAATAAGGAATAAAAATAAGCGTCAAAATTAAAGTGTGAGATAAACCCGATATCTTTACATAAAGTTATAGTGGTCGAAACAAGGATTCTGGAGATATAAAGAACACCGAAATCCGAGTTATAACGAAGAAGTTATGACCCGTCGAAGTTTCACGATGGAACCGACACGACACTAGGAAGCGTAAATAGTGAATTTACGATAGAACGACTTTTAGCCTTAGCAATCTAAACAAAAGTCGTAGAATATGTTAAACCGAGAGCGTCCATAAAAAGAACGCCCAAATCTGACTTCGTATGAGGAAGTTATGATTTTTCGAAGTTTCGGCTTAGCGGTGTACAACCCGAAGTTCAAATATTAGATCGAGCGGTTTTTAGCCGACACAACCTAAACGAGAATCGAAGATCTCGTTAATAGTAGCGTAACGATAAAAAGACAGACGAAAACGGAAGTCGGATGAAGAAGTTATGAATTTTTAACGGACCAATCATGTCCCGGCCTGTTAAAAATATAAATTTAAAATAAATTCAAAATTAGCCGACGGAGTCTAAACGAAAGTTGTAGAGTACGTTCCCGCCTACGCGTGGATATAAAGAACGTCGGAAACAGAGCTCGTACGAGGAAGATACGAATTTTTAAAGTTTAGACTCGAATTTGCGAAGCCTGTTGCTCGATTGATGACATGGCAAGATCCTAGCCGTTGCTTGCTGATCACGCCTCCCTTCGGATGAAGGACACGTCGCCTCGCATTACGCCCCGCGTCCGAAGTTGGGTACGCCCGGCGTACTTGGTGTTGTGCGGTCCGAAGATGGCCACGTAGCCCCACCGAGACTCTGCCACGTACGAAGCCAGCTGGTGACTCTATCTGAACTACGCCCCGCATAGTGCTATATGCCCAGCGTACCACTGAAGGCTCGCGGTTATAAATACCCTGCGAAGGCAGTCGGCTTTCTTGCACCAAAATCACTTCTCTCTCTAGTTTCTTTCTCTCTCTAGCCTATCTTAAGCCCCCTAAAGCCTAGGTGAACCCCTAGTACTCGAAGGAAGCCCCGAGGCTCCCGGAGTCCCGAGAAAAAAAATGGTATTTCGGTTCGGAAACGCTGCTCCAAGCGAAGCCCGATTTTCTTTAAAATCCAATGTAAGTGAGCTACGCCTATGAAAATTTTAATATAGCTTTTAAATAATTATAGTAATGTTATTAGGTCCTTAAAATAATTATTTGGGCTATTATTATGAGTTATATAGAGTGTTAACGCTTATATAATAATAATAATAGCTAGACTATTAATTAGTCACGGTTAACGTTAGACTAAACCCTAGTGGTATTGATACTAGGTTTTGTCGAGGGAAAATTATTTTGAGATAACGAAGCGCTGTTCTAGTGAAGAGTCACCACCTTTCAGGTGAGTGCATAGTTACTTTCAGCTTACATATAGATATGAAGTATTTTATATAAATTACGTGGTGTGTGTGCATATTAACTGTATACTTGCTATCTATGCTGGATGAACGATTTTATACATGTTTTAAACTGTATATGTATTTTATATCTACAAAATGTGTTGGGTAAAACATGGGTAGATGTAATAGTTGCTGTGTGACAAAATAAAATAATGAGAGGCCTCGTTATAGATGTTATTGATGATCCAGTCATCTAGCGGAGTATAGATGACGACCACGGACTATTCTAGACAGTCCAGTAGAACGCTAGCAGGCTCGCAACCTGTAGGTGTTTATTTGAACTGTGTGTTTACCAACAGTACTCCATCCCCCACATGGTTGCCTTATTTGACATGAATTGCTGAGGAATCCCCGAAGCATGTGTTGTCATCCCGATGAAAGTCATTAGACTAGGTCCCTTGTGTTAGATATTTTAGGGACGTAAAGTGAGGATAACGGGAATGGGTAATCGGGTTTGTTTGGTTTGATAAAGTTAATAAACTTATTTATTGTGGGTTGAAAACCCTATGTGCTCACCAGGCTCCCAAGCCTGACCCACTCAGTTTTCTTGTATTACAGGAAGTGGAGCATTAGCATAGATGTTTGGATGAGAGATAAGGGATTATAGGCCTGCAAATACGAAATAATATAGTAAGGCTTATGTTGTACTGTTTATGCTTTTGATCTGTATCGAACATGACATCCCGAGTCTTTTAATGAAATACATTTCTTTGGAAATGCTTTTGATAAATCTTTATCATATTTTGTTTTGGGACAAATTCCGCAACACTTTTATATAAAATGTTACTCTGATTTTCATACAAGCATAAACAAAAATCGGTCTTTTCTGGCCGTGAAAATGGGGATGTCACAGGTGGGTGGAAGGCTTCCAATGCATTGTAGACGACATAGGATTGATCGTTGAGGGTTACTTTATCGATTATCTTGGTAGTGGTGGTGGTATGTTTATATGTGTGTTCTTGATTATTGAAGAACAAACCAATATATGTGTTGGTTGCTGACGCGCGCGCGAGAGAGAGAGAGAGAGAGAGAGAGAGAGAGAGAGAGAGAGAGAGAGACCTTTTATATATTTAATTATGTTTAATTTTTTCTTTTTTTAAAAAATACGAGAAAACATCATAAATGGTCCCTGTGGTGGTGAAATGACGAAAATACCCTTCAGTTAACGGACAAACTTAACGGAGTTAGCAAAAAGGACCAAACATCAAAAGTTTTTAAAACACAGGGACCATCTATGAGGTTTTTAAACCACGGGTACTAAACTTCATATTTTGGGTAACCACAGGGACCATTTATGATGTTTTTTCAAAATAAAAACAACAATTAAATAGTGAAAAATAACAATCATTTTATACATGACATAGAGGAAAATAGTAACAATAGTATTAAGGAGTACCCCTGTTACACCCTATGGTGGGGTAATGTGGCATTGCGGGGAAGTGGGACAACACCACACCATCCAGTTTGATGAATGCAGTAACCTCCTCCGTGAGAATTGAAACCACAACAATAACTTTTTCTTTTTTCGTCTTCCTTCTTTCCATTGTTTTGACACTTGTATATTATATTATTTCATATATATATATATATATATATATAAGAAATGTGGGGTGACTATTTTGTATGTAAGAGGTGAATGACATGACACTAATTTGACACGTAAAAACAAGAAGAGTATTTTCCAAAAGGAAACTAATTTTCATCTGTTCATAAAAACCCTAAGAACTTTATAATTGCGTAGAAATTCAGGATAACCAGCAACATACAAGAACGATGAGTCCGATCTTTGTGGAAGCAATCAAATTATGATACAATGCATGTTCTTTGGAAGATGACATGTTTCCAAATAAAACTAATTGCCGAAAGAAGCTAATTTCCGGATGAAGCAATTTGTCACCGCCGCTTTGCGCGGGTAACGGCTAGTATATATATATATATATATATATATATATATATATATATATATATATATATATATATATATATATATATATGGCTAGGTTATAATGTGGATGATAAGTATTGTGTGGATGTAAGGATGAATGTGGACCAAGAGTTTAAAATACATACTCTAATTGAATATAAATTCTGACAGAATACATATTCTGATTGAATGAACATTTTCAAGAATAACAAATTTTTGAACCATGAGTGGAAGAATAACAACATTCTTAAAGAATAATCATCTATTATTAACATTATTGAAGAATCTAAGGTCCAAAAATAAACAAAAAAATAATATATACTGTCACATTCTATAAAAATACAATGTTATTTTTTGAATTTTTGCCACATTCTATTAGAATACAAGCTTCATAGTGAGTCATTCTTGAAAAAATCTTCATTCTATAAGAATACAATGTCATTCATGAAAGAATCATCATTCTCATTCTTGAAAAAATCTTCATTGAAATCACCTGGAACAACATACACAAATTTACCAATGGTCAAATCAACTGGAAATAGATATCTGAAATAAAAACATTAACTTATTACCATTTTGTGGGTCCCATCACATTCATATCTTTTTATATAAATGACACCATAAAAAGAAAATGTAAAAACTGTAGTGATCTAATCAAATCGATGAAAGTAGTTTGTTATTTCTATCATATAATCCTATATAAACTAAGATAGATACAACAAATGGGAAAGGTTAACATTCACATACTTCTTTTTGTCTATGTCAGGAATGTCGGATTTTTCAGCTTTATCAACAATCACCTGAAACCAAAATTTTACTCAAGAGTTAAGAGACAAATAAAATAGCATAAAGTTTGATTGATAAAGAAACACAATGTCTCACTGGAACTCTATCAGGATACTTCTCTCTGATGCGAGAGGATTCTGATTTCCTCTTCTCTACATAAACAAAAAGGAGAAATTCAGGTTTAGCAATTGATCTTATTATCTAATTGCACATCTTGATGCAATAATCGTTTAGAAAACAGACATCAAAACACCCAATTAAACAAATATTCTTATCTAATGATAAAGAATGAAACAGGAAAACAACAAAAGAAAAGGAAATTGTGATTAAAGGCACAATACCCAATGGGTGTTCAAGCTTGAACGAGCATTTAGCCATATCTGCACTCTGATTGCTTTCTGCAGATTTCAAACAATTGAAAAACATTACAATAAAACCCACAACAACTTAATTGAAAGCTTAAAACGCGATTAAAGAAGAAAACAAGGTTATCATAGAAAAAATACATGAAACGTGACAGAGTTGCTTCTTTAAACCCAATATAGAACGCAGCGATAATAAATTAAGATTGATGGGTTTACCTGTCAAAATCAAGAAAAGAACAAAGATAATGATTGGTATAATCCAACTTTGTAAGGCTTCTTTAAAGGAGAAATTGAGTACAGGGAAAGGGGCAGGGTTCTTGATTCCAACACAGAAGGAGATGAAGCAAATTTTGGGTTTTCCCAACTCTACACGGAATCCTTGTGTTGCTGATGAATAAGTGAAGGGGTAGAAAGGGTCGACGACTAAAGAGTCAACGATGAACACTTTAGTGAGGATCGACGACGGACTCAAGGGCTTACGGCGACCGGAGACGGCTTGAAGGTGAAGCGATGATGAAGATGGACTTCGTGGAGAAACCTCTGATCTGATGGTTGGTACAGCTCGCCGGAAAGCAAACCTAGCAACCACTGTTGCTCGCCGGTTCTTCCTTGGTGTTACGAACACGGCGATAAAGATGATAATGGCGGTGATTGTATACCCTAATTCTAATGGTTGAAGGCGATGATGAATCAATGTCGTCTGATGGGGCCGAAGGTCGATGCAAGCAGGAGGATACGATTTTGTGGGTGTCGATTGATGAGGCAACATGGTTTTAAATAATGTAATTTGCCTAAATTAAATGGTATATGATTTAATTAATTATTATTAAAATTAAATAATACTTGACCCATATAAATCCTTACATCCACATTCATCCACATTTGAACCTACCTCTCTCTCTCTCTCTCTCTATATATATATATATATATATATATATATATATATATATATATATATATATATATATGGGATGACTATTTTCTATATGAGAGGTGAATGACATGATATTAATTTGACACGTAAAAACAAGAAGAGTGAGGGGAGTACAACATTTGGCCTAAGGCCTTGTTCTTGAGTTTTTTTTTTTAATTTTTTCTTATGAATATAAGGGATGGAAGGAGAATAAATAGAAAGGAATCGAAGAATATGAAAGATAAATATAAATAATTAAATAGTTAATTGTGTTTTTGATTTAGAAAAAACATAAACAATTTAAGCCTTTTTCGTAATTTGCTAAAAAATAGACATGAAAGAGACTATCTATTTTGCTTTCACTCCTTTCCATTCTATTTTTTTTTTTTTTTTTTGAAAAAAAGAGAAGTCAAAAAACACATTTAACCTATCTATAGTTTTATATCCTTCCATTTCATTCAACCCCTTAAATCAATGAAATCCTGAAAAAGGTGTAAAAAATGGTCCGAGTGGAAAAATAAGAGGATCGAAAAGGACGGTATACGTAACTCACTCTTCTTACTTATGAGTGGTGTGACTAGTGAGCATCAAGACTTCGTAGTTTTATAGTAGTAAAAAATGGCGCTCGTTTGGTCCCCTAACGTTCTTCCCTCTTCCACTCCCACCGTAAACCCTAATTACACAGTCCGTCACAAATTCCCCATCCACCATATAGCGCGACGTTCTCCACCCCGGTTCTCAATCCGTTCCACTTCGGTACCATGCCTACCAATATCACCGCCTCTTCAATTTTCTGTATTCATCTTTTCTAGTTGCGGAAATTTGGTGATTCATATTTGGGGGTTCATCATCGATAAGTCCAGAATTCATAAACAAAAAAAAAAAGGATGAATTATTCGGAAAATTTTACACTTTATTGATTAAAATTACGATTTATAAGGAGAGTACTTTGGCTGCCTTACATTCCCCCAAATTTTATCACCGAAATTCCATATTGTATTTGTGACTCATATTCACTCAAATATTTCGCATATTGAAGAGATCTCGTAGCTGCTGCTTGCATGTTCCAATTGTTAATGAATTGGGAAAAGAATCCGACGAGAGCAGTAAGCAAGGTGAGATCTTTTTGTACATTATCCCGTAATGAAAAGCTTGTGATCAATCAAAGCTTATAACAAACGCTACAAAGACAGAGTGTAATAAATTTGTACCAAGTCCACCAAATTGGAAACTAATCTACTAAAAGCTCAACAATTTCCATTTTGGGTGATCCATACTGATTTTGACCTTTTTCCCTGTTTGAAACTTTGATGTGAAAGTTGCCCATTTACTTGTTATCTTGTGAATTATTGATGATATTGGCTTTTACGTTTTATCTATGTTGTGATTGGTCAATTGTCTTTTAGACATTTGACTTGTTGTCATGCACTCTAATAAAGTTTAACCACTCAACTTTCATATCTGTTCCATTGTTGTGAAATTTTGTATTTCTTTTTTCTATTTTTACGAATCTTTGTATATCTTGTTGATGTTGCTCACTAATTGAAACAGTTTCACTAAATACTAATCAGCTTCAGTTTGTTCCTAACTTCCTATGTTGTGAAAATACAATTAGTTTTGTGATTTTTTTTTTATAGGGGACAACAGTGAAGACTTAGGAGTCAAAGTGGCATTGTCTATGCTAAGGTTTTACAAAAGTGAGTCTCCAATGCACACCACATGATGTGTCATGTTAGTATTAGTAACATGTTTTGTGGTTATCTGAAACAAACAAACAAACAGGGGAAATTTCACCATTAATGCCAAAGAGCTGTCGATACGTTCCAACTTGTAGTGAGTACTCCATGATTGCTTACAAGAAGTATGGTGTTGCTAAAGGCTCCATCTTGACAGCCTGGCGCCTCTGTCGCTGCAATCCCCTAGGTATTTATCTTTTTGTTTTGTATCTATTTCTGGATGATTTATGAAATGCATACTTTTTCTTCTTCTTCTTATTTTTTTAATTTTTAGGTGGATCAGGATTTGATCCTCCAAGATGGTTTGATGAGCCAAGCCCACCAGAACAATGAAATACACTGTGTGGTGGTAAAATCAAAGAAAGGCCTGTGTTTATAAAAGTATTTTTGGTTGAGATGATTCATTATGTTGGTCTTAATGACCCATTTGCTTTTAGTGGGGACAATACAAAAACCAAATTTGCAGCGAATAGTGATGTCATGTTGGACCATTGCGAAATGTGGCTAGTTTTGTTCTTTTCTCATTATATTTGTATTGGATAGTTTGTTAATTACTTGTATGTTTATAGGTTAATGATGAATACATATTTTACTTCATTTTCATACCCTTGGTATATATTTTTTGGTTTAAACAATTATGTTTTTATACTTAAGTGAAAATGGTTACCATAACACACAAAGTGTAATAATGTATACTCTATTGAAGTATAAACATTATGAAGGATGAATTATTTATTTATTTACTTAATGAGCGGCGTTGGTATGAAAATCAAAGTATGTTGCTATTATGCAAAATACATTATTCTTTTATGAACAATGGCGTTTATTGAAAATTTGGTAAAGGGCGAGGGATATGTTGGATATGGGCACTACTCACTGAAATGAGTGAAAGAAGTTTATTGACTAAACTAATGTCGACACTTAAGTCAAGAAATCAATTTAAAGTTAGAATCCTTAACAAAGTTCAAATACTTGAACAGTTGTGGGATTGGAATTAAAGAAGTTGGCATTTGGGCTAGAAATGGAATTTAAGGTAAATAGGGGAAATAAGTGCCTCTATGTGATAAAGGGTGGCATGGTCCCCTATGTAGCCCTGGAGTATGCTATCAATGATTTTAACATTACAGGACAAAATAAAATCAGAGAGAGTGTCTCACATCCAAAATTAAGAGAGACCACTTTCTGTATCAAATTTATGAAAGGATATGACAGAAGTTTATCAATGTAATTGGTAGAAAAAATAGTTTAATAGTATTTGGTAGAAAAGACACTTAAATAACCAAAAAGCTACCCAACAAGTTGGAGCTTCAAAAACTTAAAGTTGGTTATTCAACATCGGAAATAAAGGTTTAGATATTTTTTATCTAAACTATTGAATAAAATCTAATCTACTAGACTACTACTATAAACTACTCCTTAATTCAACATATGTCCATATGACGGGGGTTTGAAATTTTGAACCTTCAACCTCAAGGAAGGAGGACAACATTATTTTACTTATTTAAATCAAATATAATGTTAATGTATCTCATATTGGTATGATAAGGCCATATATATCTCTATATATATTGGAGTTTTCCCTCTCTCCATAAGAACTCTTTTGAAGAGTTAATATAGGATTCCACATATATCTTACATAGTATCAAAGCCGACGTTTGCAACTAATATGGCTTGCCATATTGTGTGTGATTTACTATATATAAAATAATAAGATTTTAAATTTATAAAATGATTTTGTCACAACCGGACAGTTACATACACTAGCCAGTATATTTAATCATGTAATATTATAACTGATGTAAGACTAGGTATCGAACACTATGGAATATGATATGATTTGCAATAAAAAAAATTAAAAACTAGATTAAATCAACATATCTAAAATGCTCTCACTTAGATTTCTAATTCCTCCTCTGGATTATGGTTGATTGTCCTAAAAGTGCAATAGATTAAGTTTGTTGGTTACCAATTCCTATCATAATTAGTTATCTCGGTCCGATTAATTAATCCTAATAATTATTAACACAATGGTCATGTAGTTAACTATCTAAAAAATTAGTGTTCAGTTCGTATTATGACCAAAGGGCTTCTAGCCCAGCGGTATCAGGTGTTGCCCTCTCTCCTTGAGGTTGAGGGTTCAAATCTCGTCGGAGACATAAGTGAATTTAGGAGTAGTTTAGGATTATATTGTATTTGACGTTCAAGAAAAAAATAATATCTTACACATTAAAATTTATTAATTATCACCTAACCTTAGGATTTTGCCTATCATTAGTCATGATCATAAAGTAGTTAAGACACAAGCGCCCGCACACACACACACACACACACACATATATATATATATATATATATATATATATATATATATATATATATATAAAGAATAAATTAAGATGTAAAAGAGATAAAGACCTTTAAACAAGCATAAAGAATAAATTAAACAACGTGTAAATCAAATCTATTAATCAAACCATAATCTCAAGAGGTTTATCTACATCTAAGCAAATGTAAAAGAGAATTACCCCTAATCACGAATGAAAGGCATAAAGAAATCAATATGAAAGTGCTAAACTTGATATTAAAGCAAACTAAATTGACGTTCCTAAACTCTTGATCTTCAAACGTTTGCTTCAACATTGTTCTTCAGCTTCCAAAAGGGTTGTGGTCTTCAAAAATCGTCTCTAATTTGTTCCACAAGTTGGTATATCTCTAGGGATGAGGAGATGCTCTATTTATAGAATCTGTTTTCTGGTAGAACACATCGTGTAAGGTAATGGAACGTGTTGCGTAATATGAGGTTTTCGTGTTTGTATAGACTTTTATAGAGGCACTGGCTATTTGTAGGTGAGGTTGAAGGTTCGATTCTTGCAAGCTCCATTTTCCTTGGATTAAATCAGTTTTATACTTTTATAGATATTATATATAATTACTCATAAACACAAACACGAAAACATTGGTGGTAAAGTAAGGGTAACAAATTCATTGATTTTTCTCATCAACATAAGAAAGTGACCTAGCAGCCACGCCAACTACAAGTCCTAGTCAGTCTCACGTAGGCGAATGATCTCCTTAGAAGGTAAAGGGGCAAATATTAAGAAATCTTCCTAAATATTAGACATTAGTGCACCACAAATCATCACATACACAAAACCACAAAGCCGACAAAATTTATCAAACTTAAAAACTTTTATGTTAATATCATTATTTTATTTTTATGGGAAAACCTCCGAAAAACCCAACGTATTTTCATCAAATCCTTAAAAAAAACACTATATTATTTTTCTAGTACACTAAAACTCTTATATTTTCTAAAGTTCTTATTTAAGGTTTTATGACCTTAGAAAAACCTAATCTATTTTCACGAAAGAATTAAAAAAACCATTATAATATTTTTTTAATGCATTTAAACCTTCATATTTTTTTTGAAAGTTTTTAATCTAATGAATTGTAACAAACCAAACGTTGAGAATCCATTACATAGCATTTTCTGTTATCTAAGATTTACCGAGCTCAATGCCTTAGATAAAAATATGTTGGGTTTTATAAGGTTTTTTTTATTTTTATCTCTTTACAAAATTAATATTTTTAAGAAATTATTTGTTTATCGCGTGAATAGTTGAATATTCTTATATTCATGTGACATTATTCCTAAATGAAACAAAGTTTTGGTTGATTGTAAATGCTCGGATTAACCAAATTTAATATCAGATGTTCTGATTCACTTGGAAGTTTAGAATGAAAGATTTGTTTTCTTCTTGTTGGACATTGCTGCTGCTGCTGCATGGAAGAAGAAGTGCCTAAATCTGCGGTATTTCATTCTCTTTTTCTTGGTTTTGCGTTCGAGTGAGTTCGTCTCTTTCTTCGACCACACCGCTTTTCTGTGATTGTGCGCCGATTTTCTCATTTTCGCCTATTTCTGTTAATCTAAAGATTGGTACTCGACATGATGCAACTCTGATTAGTATTCCGTTTCCGATTCGTCTGAATTGAGGGGTTTTTTCCGTAACATTTCAGATTAGGAGTTCATGTAGGGTTTTTTTGATTAATTACAAAAAGGCGTTTACTAATTGCTACTTTGATTATTGGTATTTGGAGTTTGATTTGTGAGATTAGTAAGATAGTGAGGCGATCCGTGTATGGGGACTCAAACAATGGGATCGAACGGTGGAACACAAAAACCTGTGTTCGATGGATTGTCAAGGCAAGGATCTCTGTATAACCTAACTTTAGACGAGGTTCAGCAGCAATTAGGCGATTTAGGGAAACCTTTCAGTAGTATGAACCTTGATGAGTTTCTGAAGAATGTTTGGAGTGCTGAAGCTAATCAAGGAATCAACAATGGCTCCTCCCCTGATTACTCCGAACTCACCCAACTTGCTTCTGCTTCATCTTTGCCTAGACAATTGAGCCTTACATTTACCAAGGATTTAACCAAGAAGACAGTCGATGAGGTCTGGCAAGATATCCAACAAGATCAGAAGAAAAAGACGACGAATGGTAGTGATAGCAACATTAACAATACTAGTAGTTGTAAGAGACAAGCTACTCTTGGTGAGATGACACTCGAGGACTTTTTAGTCAAGGCAGGGATCGTGTCTGAATCTTCTTCTCCTGGTAAGAAAACCCATGAGCAGAACCTTGATCCACCAGAAGCACAGTGGATGAACTACCAAATTGCTCAGATTCCACAGCAACATGTTGTTATGTCAGGCCATTATCAAGTACCACAACCCCTCCCTCTGAATGTAATAGACACTGGTTATCTGGAGACACGTATGACAATGTCTCCCACCCCTTTGATGGGGAGTGTATCTGAGTTTGGAAGGAAACGAGTTGCTTCTGGAGATGTGATAGAGAAGACTGTGGAAAGGAGGCAAAAGAGAATGATTAAGAATAGGGAATCTGCTGCACGTTCTCGAGCAAGAAAACAGGTATAATACTAAACTCCTGTCTTCTTTTCTCATTTTACCTCTTATAATTATGTGATGAGAAAATGCTGTATTGTTTAACAGGCTTACACACATGAGCTGGAGAACAAAATCTCACGTTTGGAAGAGGAAAATGAAAGACTCAGGAGGCAGAAGGTATGTATATCTGTTTCTCATAGTCCTTTCTCTCTTTTTCATGTTATCCAGTCTCTTCCTTACAGGAAATGTCTTAATGGGAATGTTACTTGTATGTAGTGTTACTGTGATAAGATCTGGAAATTATTTGTGTATTTCTTAGTTAATGACCTCAATTTATATACATAGTGGGTTTAGTGTTTTCATCACCTAACCCAAGTAATCTACTCCAATATGGGATTAATACATCTCATACACTCGATGTGTGTAGTTAAGAGCTTACTTCATAAATTGTCTTCTTTTCTATGGGTTTAGAACTCATAATTCTCACATTCACATGCATTGAAGTTTCTCTCCACATTTAGCTCAATCACTCAAATTCCCCCAATTTGCAAACCCTGATACAACTACATACAAATCTATGAATATGATTAACTAATCGGAGAACACGATTTAAAGAACTACCAGCACTAGTACTCTACTTTTTCCGATTAAGGCATTGTACTTTCAAATATAACAAAATCATTACATATCTCTCAATATGTTTACTCAAAATGACTTAAAAGTACAACAACTTATTACTTATCATTACCACAAGAGTTTATGAAATAATAAGTTCTCAAAAGTTTGGGGTATTATGAAATGGCAGATAAGAAGTGTAGAGAGTAGGATGCCATGTGATGAAGTTTTGTAATAGTTGATATAATTTAAGTGACACTGGTTAAATGCTTGCTTATTTATGCAACAATGTTTCACTATTTACCTATTTATGCAACTGACACAAATTTTGCAACTACGTTTCAATTGGTTAAACTTGTTACTTGTAAAATGTTGCATTTTTTTTTCATGGTTGCATATTTCATCTGGATAACAGTTTTGTTGCATAATTTGGCAAAAGGGTGAAATGTCATGATGTTTTATAAGGTATAAAGCTTATTGTATGTGTATGTGCATGTGCATATTTGCAGGAGGTGGAGAAGGTTTTGCCATGTGTACCACCTCCCCAACAACCCAAGTATCAACTCCGAAGAACAACCTCAGCTCCTCTCTAACAATTAATCATCTTCCTTTTCCTTTATCTGAAGACATGTTGGTGGGGTCATGTAGGGGTAGCCTTTACCTTTTTCTTTTTTAAATTTGTTGCTTAGGTCTTGTGTACATTAAATGTTTGTTCTTACTTCTTAGTTTTGTTGATGCATCTCATTTACAACAATATTTGAATATGAATGTGAACTCTTCAAATAATGATAATGAGCTTACTTTAACATCCAAATAAAATTTGTTGTATTCAATAAAATACAACAGAATGAAATAACCCGAAAACAATAAGGAAATTAGTTGTATTCAATATCTTTGCTCACATATGACAAACACTTGGAAAACAGAAAACAATGATACTCCAAATTTACATCTATAAAATGCGGTTTACCATTATCACCTTTTTTTTTTTTTTTTTTTTTTTTTTTTATAGTTGATGAACAGTTTGGGTCTCATGTGTGATTATTTGTTCATCACATTTCTCACGTTCACTAATGCAATCTTCTTTCATATCAAAAAGAAAAGGAGAAGGGTGAAGATCCAAGTCTAGACTCCCTTCCTTTCGTTTTGAGTCACTTTCAAACTCATCATACTGCAAATTCTGTAGAATTTCAGGAAGTGAAATCCCACTCGATTCTGAAAACTTATTCCCCATTTCAATGTCAATCTTTTCCTTTGATGTTTGTATAAGATCCGAACTTGTCTCCTCAATCACCATGTTTTCATCTTCATGCACAATCGCCCTAAAATCATTCAATGAAGGAGGAATCTTCGATAGAAAAACTTGTAAGAGATTCCTTGTTATGCCTTCATGATACGGATTCTCCTTCTTATCATATCTATACCGGAAGTTTTCATATGTTGTCTGCATCAACCATCAAAATCAAAGTTCCATAAGTGTCAAAAACTAAAAAACTCTCAAATTTGAAGTTTTTTAAGAGAAGAATGAAGATCACCTGGTTTGAGCAAATAAGATAAAAATGGAAAACAGAAAGCCCACCAACAAACCACATGGTGATGAAGCAGTAAACGATGAGGACATCAGACAAAATATCCTTTGACATGGCCTTCAAAACGTTGCCTTTTTGGACGAGGTGGACCCATGAAAAGGCAAACACGTATACACACAAGATTGTTGAGGTTGATATAAACATGTAGAAGAATCGATAGTTTCGCTGCAATGAAATGATAAAAGAAACACAATCCCATTATTTTTTGAAAATAAATGAGAATGAAAATTAGACAATCAATGAACTTACTAGTCCGATGCATTGACCAACCCAAGGACAATGATGATCAAATTTCTGAACACAGTTGTTGCAGATGGAGCAATGTGAGGCACGTGGAGGACGATATAGCATACACGTGTCACAGTATTTGACTTTAACCGAATGACCATTCACCACAACTTCTTTAGTTTTGGGTAATCTCAAATGAGGAGTTCTGTCATTCAGCCATTCCATCGAAGGGGTGTTCATATCAAAGGCTTCATCACATTCCGGTGGGGTTGAGTTTCGTGGGATTATTCCCGGATCTTTACTCGAAGTCAATAAAAGAAACAATATATCCTAAAAGATATACAAATTTAATTTATCATCAGATTTGTTACAACTCCTTCTTTCTTTCTTTATTAACCAAGTCAAACAGCTTACCAGAAAAGTGAGAATGGCTGCCACAAGCAGAATGATGTACCAGTATCCAACGTCTTTTCCATCTTTCTTGTTGACGTTAATAGTGTGGTAGACTTTAAAACAGAAGGATACAGCAGGGCCTGCAACTAGGAGTATGGTCAAAATCAAGGAAGCCACATCTGGACCAAAGATCAATCGTCCCCCACAAAAGAATCTCTGAAACGGAAACACCCCGATTCAATTCATCGATCATCATCGGGAAAATCAAACCTAGCTAAAACCTCTTAAGAAATTAACTCTAGTATGAATGGATGAATAGATGAAGAAGATTAACAACTTACATTGCTTCCTCTCCAGACCTGATATAGTCTTTTTGGCTTTTCTTTCCCTTCTGCAATCGACATCGGAGCTGTGATCTGGATTAGAGTATACAAAAGCTTCGGAACTCCTTGCTTCCTCTTCCGATCAACTCAAAACCCATGTCATGTGGAAAGCATTCAACAATTCGAATGAATTTTATCGCTTTGATAGTTATATATTCAATCAATTCTTGGAGTTGTGTGATTGGGAAGTGAAAAGCCTTTCAGAAATTAGCTGCTTTGCCTTGTCTGTGTTTGTGTTGATTTTACAGCTATAGGAAGCAACAGCTTCATATCCCTTTCTCTTTCTCTCTGTCTCTGGCGAACAAAGCTAATTCGGCGGATGTTCCAACTTTGTAGCGACATTCCCGCGGTAGCCTTTTCAGGCTTTCTTTATCTTTTGTTCTGCCTAATTTACTCCCCGGATTATAGACCAAACTGCAACTTTAGTCCTTCAACAATATAACATTATAGTTTTTAACCTTATTCATCATCTTCAAACTTAACTTTATAAATTTTGTATATTTCTTTCATTTTCCTTCTTGTATTTTGTAAACATACATGCAACTTGTCAATTCCTTATAGTAAGTTTATTTCTATATAAAATTTTCTATCAACTACAGCAATAACTTGTTTCATGTGTGTTGATTATTTCTTAGAGTGTTTGCTTTATTTATCAATTATCTTTGTTTTGAAATTTTGAGTTTTGAAAGTGTTTTCAAACTAGTATTAACGAAGAAAACAAGTGATTGCCTATGTTAATTTGTGTTTCATATATCTTCTTTAATCAATATATAAGATCAAATGTGTTGAAAAATTGTTAAGTTCTGAGAGTCGAATGGTATTTTGGTACAACTCAAAAGTCCACATGTGAACATATAACAAGAAAAAAGCTTTTATGTAAAGAGCCAAGTTGAGGACTAAGGATGTCAATTGCAAAAATTGATTTACGGTTGTAGAAAAAGAAAGGAACATGCATTAGGTGCAAATCGAGGTAGTGTCCACAGAATCAGGTCCACACATATGCATAGAATTTTGTTGATACTTGCAAAACAAAGAAAATTTGCATATGGGCTATCGTGAAATTTTATCGATCGACATCCATAGATCTAGAATGTCCACATAATGAATTTTTCAATCAAAAACATTGAGTTCATGTAAATGGTTGTGTACATGTTTTTAAGATTCATAGATATCTTGGTTGAATATTCTCTTTTTCTTTTTAATTAGTTGGAAAAAAAATAACTTTTATATAGAACAAGGTGATTTATAGGCTGCTACAATGAAAGAATTAATGTTGTAGATTAAAGCTGCAAGTTAATAAATAATCCAAGGACTAAACTTGTACCTTGCTCCTTTATTTATTTATTTTAAGAAATAGTATATTCATTGTCTTTTTAATTCCACATTGAGAGAAAAGAAGCATCCGATCGTGAGGGCACAAAGTGTACCAACCAAGTTTATAAAGTATCCCCTAAAATCAAGACCTTCGTTAAAAAAATAATCCAATATTATCTATTACCTTTTGCTTTTCTATAAAATAGAATTATGTTAGAAAAATAAAATAGATTTATAAACTTTATTAATTTACTAATAAGTCATTATTACTGGATGTTGGTTACCCCATTATGAAAAACAGTTTTTTAAATCATTTTTTGGGCTTACATTATGACTGAAAAGTTGGAATCATTATTATAACAATAGTTTGGATCTTAGTTAAGGTATGGTAAATTTGGTGACTGATATACCTAAAAACAGTAAATTAAATAAAATATATATTTTTGAAATCCATAATTTTCAACCTTAAGATGAGTTATTAAAAAACAATTTAATATATGACTTCAATTAACAACTAGAAAAAGAAACGTATATTCTCAATCATTAATTAAGATAGATATATTTGAAATAATTATAAAACCATAACTAGGTTCTTGTTTATGTTACCTTATATTTATAACAAAGACATGAGCAATAATGTACATTATGTTCCTGAAATAATAATAAAAAAGTTTAAAATTGCAATAAGTTTGAAGGTATACATGCCACAAGTTGAATATTTTATAACAATAAATGATTCTGTCGATTTCGAGCTAAGATGTATTTTACTATTTTATATCAAAGTATAACTTTACACAAAAGGATGTCTGTTTATAATTCAATTTCATTAATGTATCATGTATGGGTATTTAAATATTAATAATGGCAAATCTGTCACCAACAACCAAATAAATAATGGGTTGTTCCATGTATAAACGTGCTGCCACAACATTAATTCAATCCTTTTAAATGATCCAAATGCAGACTGTATTTTTGTCCAAACCGCACCTTTTTCAAACTGTATTTTATTTTAAGAAGAACAAATATTTGTTTACGATGAAAACCATATATAAGTGTTTAATAAAGGATTAAATGCACACAAGTGTCAAGCGTGGCAATATTTAGGTGCAACGATGTTTAAGTTTAGGAACAAAAAAGTAAATATTTTAAGTTTAATGATTGAATTGCGGTTGCATAATTTGTTAAAAAATAAAACATTATCACATAAATTGATAAACAAAAAAATATAATAATAATAAAAAAATAAAGTAAATTGCAAAATTGGTCAATGTGTTTTCACCAAAAAGTGCAGTTTTGGACCATTTTTTTTCACACACGTATAGTCCAAAATCGAAACTGCCGTGCAGAATTGGTCCCTCCATTTAACAACCTTCCAAAACTCACGTTAAATCTCTCCATGTGCGACACACGACAATGAGCATTTTCTCCATTTCATATTCTTTACTTCCATTACCGCCAATATGTTTCCTTTTGCATAATTAATCTCTAAATATCACTTGTCCCCTCGTTACCCTCATTAAAAGAGTTTGATCCGCTAACTCTGTAAAACCCTAATCGATTATAATCACTTCATCGTCTTTGTTGTACACGAGCTTCAAAATGTGGCAATTCCAACCTCATAAGCATAGAGTAGACACGAAATCGTTATATAATAAGTAGATGATCACATAGCTTTTCTTGATGATCAAGAGAATTTGTAAGATTTCATGAGTAAAGAAGATTTTCTTATGGATCAAAATGTATTGGATCATGAGGATATGGTACAGAATAAGGGAAAATGACTTACAAGCCTAACGAAAATTTCCAAACCGTTCAAAAACTTCAATCATGTTTTGTCTGTTCAAGAAAACCCAGCAAACTTAACATTTTGTCTAAAAAAGCCCAACGAAATTTCCAAACCGTTCAAAAAACCACAATCATGTTTTGTCTATTCAAAAGATTAAGTTCGTTGGGTTTTTTTTAACAGAGAAAACATGATTGAGATTTTTTGAACGGTTTGGAAACTTCGTTCATCTGACAAGTCATTTTCCCGATATGGTAATAAGTCATGTCATCTGTTTCTCTTATTTGACTTCCATAAAATTGAACAAAAGTGTAACGTAGTTGGGTTTTTTTAGACAAAATGTAAAATTCGTTGGGTTTTTTTGAACAAACAAAACATGATTGGGGTTTTTTGAACGAGTACTTCATTGGGCTCGTAAGTCATTTTCCCTACAGAATAATTGCATGGATGACCAAAGATTTCATGGATGAAGAAGAGAGAGATTCCTAAACAAGAAAGAGAAATCATTGTATAAGAACTTGTTATGGAACAACAAGAGTACAATGATCAATAAAATAGTGACCAAGAAGAAAGAGAGAATAGTGATGGTATTTAGAGTAGTGATGGTAGTGATGTTAGCGAAAACAGTGCTATTGGGTAGATGAGGACAACTATAGCAATGTACTTTCAAAATACAATGCTATAATACAACTTTTAAAACTCAAATTGCTATTTATGTGGGTAATGATACATATTATTACATTTTAATGCATGAAGGATGTTATAATACAGTAGGATGCTATACTAAAAGTAAGTCGCTTGTTATTTTAATTATGAAATGAAAGATACTACCCTTAAAATGGCCAAATTTAGCACCGCTATGTACTATTGAAAAGGGTTTGTACAACTTGAATGTCAATATTAATGAAATGCATGTACACATTTCACCTAGAAAAAAAAAATAGTAAACCAAACCTTTATCGATAATTGATGAACATACATCGATGCGGGAAGCAACTTTTAGTTTAATAAGAAATTTTAAAGTTATCAAAAAATACTTATTAGTTATACTATTGGGCCAAAGCCCACGTCATCACTAAAATGGGCGAATGGGGCATCAAATTCGGCCTAGCTATTAATAGTGGTATTTATTTATTTATTTTTATTTTTTGTATTTGCTTATTGGTCCAAGTAAATGAGTAGGCTGTCAATTGGGTATTTGGGTTTTTGCAAATCAAAAAGCTAATACTTTGCCTTTGAGTTTTTGTAATTGGAGTAAATTACACGAATGGTCCCTAGGATTTGGGGTAATCTACACGCTTGGTCTCTAACTTATTTTTTTACTCGGAAGGTACCTACAGTTTGTTTTTATTACTCGTTTGATCCCTACTTTTTGTTTTTGTTATGCGTTTGGTCTCTGTCTTACCTAAAAATATTATTATTGAAATAGGAAAAAAATGGTGGGATATGTAAGGTAAGGTGAGGGGAGTGTGGTTGGGGGTCTATTTATTTAAATAAATTAAAAAAACCAAGGGCATAATAGTCTTTTTAAGTATGACAGAGACCAAACGCGTAAGAAAAACAAATAGTAGGGACCTTCCGAGTTAAAAAAATAAGTTAGGGACCAAACGCGTAAATTACCCTAAACAATAGGGACCATTCGCGTAATTTACTCTTGTAATTGTTAATAGGGTTACAATATTCGATGTTAAAGTATTTATTTCTTTGTTTTTTTTTTGTTTTTTTTTATATTATTATTTTTAAATCAAGTTTGCCGCATTGGCTCTTTGTATTTTTTAATAGGATTAGAGTATTTAATTGTGTTGCTTGTTGGAGTTTAGAATGATTATTCATTTATTTGCAAATCCTTTTACTAATACCTTGCCTTTTTTCTTATTGTTAATAGGAAATGAGCATTTAAATGTTTATTAGAGCATTTTAATGGTTTTTTTTTGCAGATATGAAATAAACCAACAAAAGGCACAATATGTATTTTTTTTGCACATCAGTTCACCAATCCAACTTCATATTTCTTTTCTATTTGTTATATTTATGCTTCATATTTGTAAGTTTTAGTTTGTATGTATATCGATTTTTTACCGAAAAAAATATATTGCTATTTTGTTTTATAAATCTATGGGTATATAGGTTCGGTACAAATATAATATGAAATAGCTATGGACCGGCAATTGATAAAACAAAATTTTGATTTAAACCGAAAAATAAATAAATAAATAAATAAAATTAATGATTTTTCTCAGTTATT